TTTCTTTCTTTCTTTGGTAAAAACAATAAACAGAGATTACCTGGACAGCAACTAACGTGAATATTCTTACAGGCCTCGTCAAACAAAGGTTTCTTAGGTACAATCAACCCTGTAACTGTACCCAACCCTTCTTAACTGTACCTATTTCTCTAAGTAGGTACATTGTTTCCCTGTCAGTGGAGATCTGTGGCTGTCTATCTCTGTGGATCAGCCTGAAGAAGTAAGGCCTTAGTATGTGGTCCAAAGCCTGTTATGTCAATGGATAAACTCCCACTGACTTCAATTAGGTCTGGCTCATGCCCTGGGTTAACATTTATACTAATGTCCCATTAATCAGTTCAGGATAGATTCCTCCCTCATACACACCCCAGTGGGGACTCAGTACAGGCACTTCACTCTATGGGTGCATCTAGACTTATGTCCACACTGCTACTGCGTTCTTTTGAAAGAAAATCGAAAGAACGCAGGGGGGTTTCCGACATTGGTAAACCTCATTCTATGAGGAAGAATGCCTTTTCCGAAAGAGCTCTTATGGAAAAAGGTGTGTGTGGACTTGGAAGAGGGAGTTTTTTCAAAAGAAGAGGAAAGAGGAAAAGGCACTGGTGCCCTAGTGGCCACTCTGTCCATAATAATAACAGTTTAAATGTGAGATAGCATCCATTCAGTGTGGACGCTATCTTTTAAAAAAGCAGATCGCTTTTTTGATGTGCTTTTGCAGTATGGATGATCTCTTTTGGAAGAAGTTTTTTCTGAAGATCTCTTCTGGAAAAGCTTTTTCCAAAATAAGCCTGCAGTCTAAATGTACCCTATGAGGCATAGCAAAGAAACCGAGCCTCGGTTTTTATCTGCAGAGGTAAAAGAGAGACTGCAGCTGACTCACACCTACATGCACACAGGAAGAGACATTTAATATCTTTTCTACAACTGGTGGTAAGTGTGGAGTTTTTAAAGTGAACCACTTCCAATTTGAAAAGCCATTTTAAAAAAATTAAATAAATCTATGTAATGTGATTGCAGTAATGTGGCCACAGGATTTGTTTTATTTAGAGCATTTTTTTCTCTTTTTCTTTCTATAGAGTAGTTGAGAAGAGACATCCCAAGCTGCTCTGAAGGACCATCAGGTCTGAACTCATGGAAGTGATGACACTAAACAGTGCAATGAACATTTTCTTTATTTATGTACTATTAAAAGAACTGTAAATGCAATGTAAAGACACACAGCCACACATATCCCACAGATACTTGTGTTTGTCTCTTTAATACACCATCCACCTTAAACTATTTCTTGTCAGGCGTATATAAAAAAGAAAGAAAAAATTCACCCTCCAGGATGAAAAAGATTGCCCTCTGTATATAATTTCTTTTGTTGCATTGCTATGCAAGCTCACCTTCTTTTTAGCTATGTTCATTTTATTGTCTGTTCTTATTGGTCTGTTGTACTATATGTGAATTAATAGGCTGTGGTGCCATATATTAACTTTTAATTGTGTAACTTTTATGTTTAAAGTTTGCACTGCAATTTTATTTGGTGATAAGCACAAAACTCTACTCCTCGTGACATGAAGAAGAAGACTGAATGTGTGAAGAGTGTTTATGTGCTGTAAGCTGTGTTGGATAATGCTGGATGTAATGGAGTATGGTAAATGGTTTTCCATTGGGATGTAGAAATAGGAAGATGACAGGAAAAACTGAAGTTAGCAAAGATGTCAGGGACAATAAATCTTTTAATAACAAGCAACATGGTTGCTTTTACTATTAAAAAGGGGGGTATCAAAAAATGAAAATGTGAGTTTCAAGAGTGAATATCAAAAAAGAGTCTATAGAGTTGAACTATGACCTCTGAATAGAATGCTAATCTTTTCAACTCTTAGGATCAGTTTTTACCTGCCCAATATAATTTAATAATGGGGGAGGGGACTTGCTACAAACAAAAGAAATGAAGGTGTTTCACTAAAGCTGTTTTTATGTTACATTTTTTAAAGAATTACCATAATTAATCTCTCAAAGCCAGCATGTAATGCAAAAATTCCCCCAGGAAAAACAGACAATGTAATCTCTGGGATTACCTAGCAAGTAGTTAAGGATGCAATTTATTATTGAGACATATTCAAGATGTTTCTGAAAAATGAAATACTTTGGAGTATCTTAGTTCATCTTTCCAATACATGTACAGTACAACAGAGGATAGCGCTGCACCACTGAAATTCATTACATCGTTATTTTTATGCAGTTCTAGAAATTTTTGTGTTTTATTAACTGAAGTCCTCAGTAACTGAAGTCAAATCCACAGAATTTGTAGTAAAATTCTTAGTGTTTGAAAAAGAAAGCAATGGTAAAATTATGTTCAGTTTGCAGTTTTCTTTTAATGCAATATGTTTTCAGAAATTGGATACAAACAAAAACCTTTGACCTACTTTTAACGCGTGAATTTAAATCCTACTATAATCACAAAGTAACGCATGTTTATACACTTTTTGAATAAACCAAACTCTGTAAGTGGACATTAATTACAGAATCCTGTCTCATCATTAGTTTTCATGACTTTCTCGAGATTTTCTTGAAAATCCCAATGAGTAATTTTTTTAAACATTTGTTAGACTAATCTACATGTGTTAAATACCACATTCATTCAATACTTAATTTGAATTTTACATCCTGCAGCTTTTTTCTGTAATCACCTAATCAATAATTGAAGATTGCATTTAAACACTCATTAAGTTTATCCTTTCTATGCTGGTTTGTATATCACTGTCGAGTTCACCAGTATTAAGCAAAGTACACTTTTAGTAATGGCAAAGTTCTAGGACAAGTAAATTACACTGCTAAATACGTGTTTCATTTTATTTAGTGATTCCATGATACAGTAAAACACTACAGTTTTCAATTGTATTCAGCACTGAAAACTGTTATTTAACTTTACTTAAAGTCACATCTTTACAGATTACAAGACAAAAAATAAACAAAGTGTATGAATTTATTTATATATGTAAACAATGAATATATGTAAATTT